GCCAAGGACTTCTCATTCAGGAATAGCCTCCTCTGAGGAGATGCTTCCCCTGCACTTCTGGAGCCTCAGGGGATCGCTCTGCCCCATGACTGGATCTCCCTTCCAGCGCACAAAGGGTGCCCGCCGCTGAGCTGCAAGAGCTGATTATTTCTTCATAAAACAGGAGATTTGTGGAGAGGCTGGTGGAGAGGCAGAGCAGGGGGAGAAAGGGAACATTTGTGAAGGGGAACATAAATAGTTAATTTGATGATGATTTAGAATGACTGTGGTTGCTGTTTGAGATAAAAAAGCTGCAGTGAGTTCAGAAAATACTAAAATAGGGCCTCATACAGGCATTTCATTTAGATTTAATAAGACTGATTATTAAGAGCATATTTCATGACGATTAAGAATTCTGACAGTCTCCCATCCACCAACTTTAATGTGCACCACAAAAATTAAAATACTTATTTATACAACTAACGTGCTAATAAGTTCATTTTGAGAAATTCTCTGAACTTGTACATGCCTTAACTTTTTACACAGGGAAGACAAAGACTCTGAGATGGTAGGATGTGGAAGCCAGAGGCAAACATATGAGAAATTGCAGTCAGAGTCCCCTGCCCGTAACTGGGTTATCAAAAAAAAAAAAAAAAAGTCAAGTCCCCCATCTCCCTCCATCTCTTGATGGACACACACATGCACATAGACTTGGGTCTGTCAGCTGCCACCTCACTTCCTCTCTACTCTCTCAGGGCTGGGGGCACTGAGGCCCATCCCCCTGGCCCATTCCCTTGCCTCCAATCTGCTCCTAAGCTGATCTTAATTGGAAACAGGAAGAACCAAAATAGCCCATACCCTGCTTCAGGAAGTTCCTAGTAGAGAGACAGTCTCCTCACTCCCAATCATTGAGCTGCTTCCTTTGCAAGAATGCCTGCCTTACTTTCACCACTATTCCATGAACAAGGAGCAAGCTCTGGGGCATGAAAGCCCCTACACACAGCTGCTGGCATCTCCAGGGCTAGCCCATAGCTGAGTCTGCAGGACCAGCCTCCTACCTCAGTCCACGCCAACTGGTCTGGCTGACTTCCTTGACTAGTCCCCAGCTTGAGGCTCCATTGTGAACTCCAGCGTGCTTGATGGAGGCCCTAGTTTTTTATGTCTCCCCTCCCAGAGACTTACTTAGCATCCCCTTGTACTCCTAGGCACTGGCTGGCCCCTGCCAGATATGGGCAGATCTCCACCCATTTGCTCAGTCAAGGACTAAAGAAAGAAACACTCAAGTCATCCAGATTTTGAATACTAGCCCTGCCCCCCAATGGCTGTGGGATTTAGGTAAGTTCTTGAACGTTTCCAAGTCTCACATTTTCCCTAAAAAATAGCGCCTACCTCATAGGCTGTTGTGAGCATTAAATAAATTGATCTCAGTAAAAATGTTTAGCACAGAACCTCCTGATACACAGTAAATACCTGATCAATGGTACCTTTTAATATGACTAATGATATCACTTATCAATGATTAATCTAATACTTGGCCTCCCTTGCTTAGTGTTTATGGCTCTATCCTTTGCTGAGCTGTATTTTGGATTGGAAATCATTTCTTCAGCTACCATCTCACTGCAACATGGCTTCCTGCCAGCCTTCACCATTGTAATGTTACCAAGGTCCCAGCATGGTTTGCATCCTGGGACCAACTGAATTACTATCACAAAAGGGTTCTTTCTTCTTTGCTATTCCTGTCACCAATCTGCAAACCATGGGCCTCAGCATTGGCTGAAATGTCTTGACTTCTCCCATAGGACCTCATAGAGTAGAAACTTAATGCACTTTGACTGTTGAAATGTATTTGGGCTTTCATGCCACAGCACTGGGCCCTGGTGTGCCAACTGCTGCAGCTCTCCCCAGTAAACGTTCCTTTCCTTCCCCAAGTTCATCTCCTGCTCCTTCTCGGCATACTGTGATTCTTTCCCATGTTTCTTTTGACCTCGTCTATGCCTGTGCACATCCAATGATCTCCCTAGCCCTGGTTGAGCCCAGCTGGTGGCATCCAGAACTGTATTGGGTTAAATGGTGGTCCCCAAAAGATATGTCCATAACCTATTTGCCAGAACCTACAAATATGACCTTCTCTGGAAAAAGAGTCTTTGCTGGACTCTTTGTTTAGGATCTTGAGATGAGATCCTCTGAGGCCCTAAATCCAATGACAGGTATCCTTATAAAAGAAAGGCAGAGGGAGATTTGCCACTCAGACATGCAAGGAGAAGGCTACATGAAAACAGAGGAAGATGCTGGAGACATGCATCCCCAAGCCAAGCAACCCCTGGAGCTACCAGAAGCTGGAAGAGGCAAAGAAGGATTCTCCCCTAGAGCCTTTAGAGGAAGCCCTGCCGATGTCTTGGTGTTGGACTTCTGGACTCCACAATTATGAGAGAATAAATTCCTATTGTTTTAAGCCACCCAGTAGATGATCATTTGTTATGGCAGCCACGGGAAACTAATACAAGAGCTAAAGACATGTGGGTCGTTAGTCAGTAGCTGTGGTTACATGAAGCTACGAAATGCCCAGTCTTCCAGCTCACCAAAGGCTGATGAAGGACAGCTGAGATAACTCATATGAGCTAGATCAGAGGGCAGGAAACGCTGCTACTAACCTGGATTCTGAGGAGTAGAGTATGACAAAGGCCCATATGTATACCTTGTAAAGAAGGCCCCCATGGGGAAAACATGAAGGTTGACTTAGAAATATTTAGATAAACGGTGTCCATTTGCTCTCTTGCCCTAATCCCCACAGATGTTAGGACAGGCTGGCTGTGGAGACAGCAGCCAAGCTCAAGTGTGGAGTTCTGTACACCAGGGTTTTCCTCTCCAGTGGCGTTACAAGTTTGGGCGAGTGAGTTTACATCTCTGAAATTCAGTTTCTTCATTGTAAAATGGGACAATTAATCCTTTCCTTGTGAGTTAAAGGTTAGAAACAGCAGAGGACCTAGCTCTGTACGGATACCTATGTTTTTCACCAACGTGCAGTATAAGGAATATTTTTTATATTATCAATATTTTCAGGTATAACAAGACCTCTCATTTCTTGTACTTCGTTTTTTTCTTGCTCCTTCCAAAGGAAAACTAGAGAGGCTAGTAATTGAAAAAGTGATAAAGTACTAATTCTACATTAAGCATTTAAGAAGGAGGCCTCTGTGGACTTCACCCATGGCCATTATCATAGAATCATGAAATGTTAGTGCCAGAGAGTCTTTAGTAACCACCTAATTCCAGTCCTTCATTGTGCAGATGAGGAAATGGAGGCACTGGGGGAAGGAAGTTGCCCCAGTCATTCAGCGCTTCTGTTAGTAACTAAGCTGGTGTCAGCGATTGTGCCTCCTGATCCCTGGCCCTAAACTCATTTTATTCCATCAGACTGCGATGATGCAGCAAGCACTGTGCATGGTTCTGTCTCCCAAGGACTGAGGGAGACTCTGTCTGGCATGGTTAAGGCCAGGTTAACATAAAAATTCAGCTTTGTGAGCCAAGGTCCAAAAATCCATTTTAAGACTTCCCTCTTGAAAAGCAAAGATTAACATTTCTTTTGAAACATACCTACCCTACATTCATCAGAAGCAAAACAATTTGTTGTTCTCTTGTAATTTATATCAAAGACTATTGTGGGAGAATTAGTTGGGTTTCATCTTTTTAAATGTCAGCCCACATGACCCATATCTGTGTAGGCATGTGAATATAGGGTTATAACAACATTTGAAAGGATCTTAAAAAAGTGTTTTGCCACAGTTAAAGTGTGATCAAAACACATCAGTTCAGGAGTCACAATATTTATCATTTTAATATTAATAATGCCATTTTGCATAAAGCACCATACAAGAAATAATTCTATTAGGACTATAAAGATTTCCATGCTGGAAAAAAAGGGGTAAAATATTCAGAATGTGTCAGAGAGACAGAGAGAGAAAGAGAGAGAGAGAGACAGAGAGAACCAGCAGTGCCACTAACACAGAATCCAATTTCTTTTCTTTGCAGATATTTAAGGCAACCATGCATTCCCAAAGATAGGGACAGAAATCGACAAGGAAAAGGAGCAATTTATTTATGAGTCATCTATCCTGCAAGTCAGTAAATGAAACCTATCCAAAAAGAAACTGTGTCTTATGGCTTATGGCCCTGTAAATTAAGCTTACTCAAATTCTTACAGGATACTTAGAACGAAACCTTCTGAATTAGGAGCTGGTCAAGGGGAACACACGGATGGCATTTCCTACAGCCTGATATGACATACGTAAGCCGTATCTTTATATGCAGGACAAAATGGATATAAAAGGAAACTTAGTGAGAAACACAAGCATCATCTCAGTGGGAGCAGGGAGAGCTCTTTCAGAGAGCTTCTCTGGGTGGGTTGTTGAGAGCCAGGCTGTGTGGCAATGGAGCTTTGGTCACAGGTTTTAGAGACAGAATGTACAAGTTTGAATCCCATATCTAGCCTGTGCTGGCTATGTGAGCATGGCTAAATTATTTCAGCTCCCTGCCTCAGTTTCCTCTTCTAGACAGTGGGAATTATACAAGCACCTACCTGACAGGGTGGTTATGACAGTTAAATGAGAAAAAAATCTGTGCAGAGTTTAGCACCACGCTCAGTAAACATTAGTTAGTATTATTATGATGATTTGGGTTTCACTCCATTATTCCCCAGAGGCAATACGGTGAATATGTCAGACAACCTGGACCTGAGAGGTGGCACCATCATTTATTTAAGCAATGAAATTCTAGTTTCCGGTTCTTCATCTGTAAAATTGGAATAATGCAACAACATGGACATGGAGACAGTCAACCCTAAATCCAAATTTTAGACCTGCCATTTATGAATTGCCTGCCTTCACCTCAGCCATAAAATGGGTACAGTAAATCTTGCTTTGCAGCTTTGTCCTAGGAGTAAGTAAAACACCACATGTGGGATATGCCCTAAACAAATCAGATACTCAACAAAATCTACTTCCCATTTTCGTTTTCCCTTCCTTCAGGCACTTCAAGGAGAGAATATCTTCCTCAATTCTCAAACAACACACGTTTTTTAAAAGTACTGTTACATATACAGAAAATATCTCAAGAATTTCAAAACAATACTTATTTCCTCTTATATCTTCACCTTCAGAGTGTGTCCTAGGAAGAAACGCTCAACACGTGTTTTTGCTTTATTTCCATGGCTTGTGTAAGTATTCCAAGTCACAATGTATATTTAACAAACTGGTCTTCCAGCTCCCTTCACAGAATGGTTGCTTTCTTCTGCAGAGGTTCAACCATTTAGTACCATTCAAGCACATTCTCCACGCCATACAAATGCCATCCCAGGAAGATGTTTAAGATTTCTCCATGAAGTGGGAACTTGGAAGTTTAGAATTGTTCCAGTTACCAACCAGGTTTTAGAGACCAAGAAATCTCAAACTTGAGAATTCAATGCAGCTATCACTTTTCCAAAAGCATAACAAATTTAGCTTTCATTTGCTTGCTTCGGAGACTCCCCCAATAGTGCAGCCTCGTCCATGATCAATGGCAGAACATGAGGAGAACGACTAGATCCCATTGCTTTGTGGGATTAAGACTTTGCAATTCTTCTGTTACATAGGAATCAATGAAACCAACCCCAACGTACAATGATGACCAAAGACACTCCCATGCCAAAAGGGGAACCAAGCAATAGTTTCTTCCTCAGTAATACAAGTCATCCGGCAATCCTTGTTTAAAATCCCTGTCTGTACAACTGGAGATGGATGCCAGAAGCTAGAAATGGCTGAACCACTTCTGGTGGAAATTTCAGCACTCAAGTTGCAGGTAAGATCATGCTATACCCTTTCCCAAAAATTCTGACTTCCCACTTGATAAAACCTAGACCCTCCAGTGTAGTATTTCAGCTCTTCATGGTTTGGCTTCCCTTAGCTTTCTCAGTCATTCCTTCAAAGACATGAAGCTTCCATCCTACCCGCAGCTTACCACTCCCCAGGCACCATGCATGCCTTCATTCTTCCGCATTTTCCATCTTCACCGGTTCCCATGAAGGTCCTTCCTATTCTTTCACAATTGAGTTCCTATATATCTTGCAAAAGTCAGCTCCAAAGTCACTTATCTACCACATGAAAACTTCCCTGATCTCCCCTGTTGAAATGGTTTGCTCATATATCATGTCATGTTCTTGCTTAAAACATCCCAAAGGGGCTGTGCATAATGACTCACACCTGTAATCCCAGCACTTTGGGATGCCGAGGTGGAAGTATTGCTTGAGCCCAGGAGTCCAAGACCAGCCTGGGCAACATAGCAAGACCCTGTCTCTATAAAAAATATAAAAATTAGCAGAGCATGATGGCACACGTCTCTAGTCCCAGCTACTTGGGGGGTTGAGGCCGGGGAGGAATTGCTTGGGCCCAGGAGTTCAAGGTTACAGTGAGCTATGATCTCGCCACTGCACTCCAGACTGGGCGATAGAGCAAGACCCCACCTTCAAAGAAATCCTGAAGGCTTGCCATTGAATAACAACCTATAGACTAAAACCCAAACTGACCCCTTCACAGTCTGGCTGCAGCCTCATTCTAGGCAGTGCTCCTCACTCTCTGGATTCCGCCCTCCGTGGCTTTTCTTTCATTTTCTAACAGGAACGAGGTTACCCCTCACCACTGGGCCTCTGTACATGCTCTGCCTTCTGCCTAGAGTTCCCTTATTGTCCTTGCCCTCTTCATCCAATTAACTCCCATTTTTCCTTCTTTAAGATCTCAGTTCGAGCATCATTTCCTTAGGGAAGCTTCCGAGATCCTGTGACAAGACCCAACATCCCCTGTCATAGTCTCTACATTTGCTATAGCGCCATGTCTCCCCACCTTACGACCCACATCTCGGTCATAATTTTATATGGTTTGACTTAATTTATGTCTGTCTCCACCCTAGACAGGAACTCTGTCTGTGTTTGCTCAGCCATGGATCCTGGGACCTAATGTAGTATCTGACATGGGATGGGCACACCATCAATATTTGTTAGATGAGTAAATGATGACACCGAGGAACACAGGGCAGGCTCACTCTTCTACAGTGTTAGTGTCACTGTACAGCTCTGACAAGATAGGGACCACAATTCCATATCATTGCCCTTTTACTACTTATAATGAGTTGCTCATTTGTCTGAGGCTTCTGAAAGGCAAGAGCTGCTTGTCATCTTTTTTTTTTTTTTTTTTTTTGAGATGGAGTTTCACTCTGTCGCCAGGCTGGAGTGCAGTGGTGTGATCTCGACTGACTGCAACCTCTGCCTCCCGGGTTCAAGCGATTCTTCTGCCTCAGCCTCCCAAGTAGCTGGAACTACAGGCATGCACCACCACGCCCAGCTAATTTTTGTGTTTTTAGTAGAGACGGGGTTTCACCGTGTTGGCCAGGATGGTCTCTGTCTCTGGACCTCATGATCCACCCACCTCAGCCTCCCACAGTGCTGGGATTACAGGCCTGAGCCACCACAACCGGTCTTGTCATCGTTTTTTATCTTACCTTCCTACACCTAGGTTCTAGCACAGTGCCTGGCACCAATAGGTGTCAGCTGACTGTTTGCTGAAATGCAAGTAGCCTGGGTTGCCTGGCATGCACATTGCTTGCTCCATTTGTGTAACTGTGAAAGTCATGTCAGCCATCCATAGATAAGGCAGGATTTATAGCAGCAGCCACAGTGGGTTTCAAGGACTTTGCAGGCCAGAGAGGGAAGGAGGCATCACAGAGAAGCTACAGATCCCAAGAGCAAGGGGACCAAGCAAAATCAAAGTCTTGCTGATGAAGCAGCACAGCCACGTGCCTCAGACAGATCGCAGAACCCCAGGGGGTCCAAGGGAGCGCCAGAGCCCCCATTCAATGAGCAGTTGTAGAGTGAATTCTGCTGGCCAGGGAGTTTCTTCTGGGTGTGATTCATGCAGTTCACAAAGACCAAAAACCTACTTTGTGGCTTACAGCAACCTTCCCCTCCTTCAAAAAATGCACCTATGCATATGCACAAAAAATATGCTTTTAATTTCAGGCATTTCTGGATATATAAGGCATATGCATAAGTTATTAAGTTATGCAGTCCAGGTTAAGAATGCCCTATTTAAATATAAAACGCAAAAAAAAAAAATAAAAATCCTCTGAATATATTAAAAGATATTTAGATTTTGCAGGGTTAACTTTTTTTTTTTTTTTTTTTTTTTTTTTTTTGGGTGGAATTTTGCTCTTTTTGCCCAGACTGGAAGGCAATGGTGCGATTTCAGCTCACTACCACTTCTACCTCCCAGGTTCAAGCAATTCTCCTGTCAGTCTCCCAAGTAGCTGGGATTACAAGCATGTGCCACCATGCCTGGCTAATTTTTTGTATTTTTACTAGAGATGGGGTTTCACCATGTTGGTCAGCTGGTCTTGAACTTCAGACCTCAGGTGATCCACCCACCTCGGCCTCCCAAAGTGCTGGGATTGTAGGCGTGAGTCACCACCCCCGGCCTCTTTTCTTTCTCTTAACATTGGACAGAATTTACCCAGATGTTAGATTCAAAGCATTTTTAGTTACAGAAGAGAAAGGCAGTGACAGTCTGATATGTTTTTCCTGCCTGTATTACAAAGAATAAAGTAGTATTAATTTCATTGAGTCCAAATCAGAAAAATGGAAGAAAATTTTGAAAGTGTTAGTTCAGGAATTTGTATCCCAGAAAGAATTCAGGATTTAGTCCAAATTGCAGAAAATAATAAAAACTCAGAAACCACAGACTAGTATCTAACAGCAGTTGAGAGTCAGCGTCTCTGACAATACTTGCAGTTTTTTAGAATGTCTGTCCCTGCTATGTTCGCCTGTTAAAATGGGCCTAGGTGGCAAATAATATTGTTGCTGCACTTTATACAAATAACCAGGCCAGCATAATAAGACTAAAACTTATTTTGTAAATAAATGTGTCCTACCATGATGTGTCTTTAGTAAACACAGGGACTAGAGACAGAAATATTATGATTCAAGAAAATAAACAAAAAAGCTGTTCTCTCTTAGGCTCACCCAGGTTGCAAAAAATAATGGTTTAACGGAGACCTGTATGTCCTGAGCCAAAACTGGGACATATTGCCTGACTAGGGATTTATGCTTCTTTTTTGTTTTCTGGGTGCCATGAGCAATCCTGAAGGTGATGTTTCTGTGCCAAAATACCAGGATTTTTAGTACCTGATAGTTTTTGTGAGGACAAAGAGACAGAATAGTTGAAATTAGGGCTGCCCCAGAAAACCTGGGCCACATGATTATCTTCATTAAACTAAATCACTTCAAATCAGGTGGGTATACACCTGGATTGCTCAATGAACTAGTTGATTAAATCTCAAAGACTGTCAAATTGTGAATAGGGGCATGGAGGCGGGGTGGAGGGACCACAGTCAGAGAGGAATTTCTGGACTGAGTCAGGGAGGGGTGAGCAAAGCTGTGCAGGGAGGAAGCCATACCCAGGGACCCAGGGTCATGCTTGAGGGCGGGTAGTGAAGGCAGAAGCAATGGCCAGAACCCGAGGGAGCAGGGAAGGATCAAGAAACACAGAGGACCTGAGACGGAGACATCCAGGCTTAGTAACACCCACTTGCTGGAAGTCAGGGTAGCGGGAGGTCTCCTGTCAGGCCAAGTGTCCACAGCTGTCAGGAAGCACAAGCTGCGAGGAGATCCTGGAGGCAAGGCCACACCCACCTCCAATGCCACTGCCTAGGAAGTGATCAGCCTGGGCCCAAGCACAGCAACTGGGAGCCATCTGACAGGAGCTTAGGTAGGAAGGACATGGCCCGGCAGACAAGTCTACCTCCTGCATGGAAAGAGGGGCATGCTTGAGGCTGGAAGGAAACTTCTGGAACACCTAGGAGACTTCCAACAATTTTTGCTTACAAAATGAAGCGGCATAAAATCACGGAATGAGGTTGGCTTTGAAGCCTGACTTTGTCACTTACTAGCTGTGTGATCCTGGAAAAGTCACTTACATCAGGGCAACCACAGAATGCCTCTTGCCAGTCCTGGTTTATGTCTGTTGATTTTTTAAGAAAGAATTTTATTCTTAAGAGTTTTTGAGTATAATTATTTTGTAAGTTCAAAAATATAAAACCAATTTTTTTTTTTCCAGATAATAAATACTTTATAAGTCTTTTTAGCACTCTTTTTCACCGTCCAAAGTGTCCCAGGTTGGGTGACTTATCTCTAAGCTTTGGTTTACCTATCTGGAAATAAGAAAATCAATTCTTTTGAAGGTTTTTTATGGATCATACAGAACCCAGAAGAATACTTAGAATTCTCTTTTTCATGCTAATTTCCTCCTCTGGCTTTCTTAGAAACCTGTATTTGGGGGGGGATGAGAAGATGGAGGTCTCAGCAGGAAAGAGGGGTGGGGGAGCTGGAGTGAAGCCCCTCTAGAGGCCTTGTGTTCCCCTGAGGCCCACTGGCAGTCCTCACAGCTGCAGCTTCTACTTGAGTTTAAGGAGATGGAAAAGCTCCCAGGGACAGAGATGGAAAAGCAGCCAGCGCTTCCGACAAGTTCACCTAATCCTGAGGCTGGGTTCACTTAATCCAACACCAGGTCTCTGACATTTCTTTGGTTCCTGCTCTTCCACGTGCCACACCCCACAGCAGCCTCATCTCAGCTGAGTTCTTGCACTTTGCCCCCGACCTGACTCCCGAGACAAGATGGTGCTACCCCTCATTCTGCAGACTGATGCCACCCACTTCTCAAAGCAACTGCAAGCATGGCACTTGCTAGTCCTGGAGTTACCAAGAGAGAAAGACCTGGGCCCTGTCTGCCAGCAGTGACCTACCTTCTCTGGGGACC